TATTTGGATTTTTATTATATTGCTATAACATTTTACAAAATGGATATATTCTTCAATGTTAATTTATCAACCAATTTATGGCACAAATCCCAAATGTACACATAGCCGGATATTTGCTTTACTACTTGGTTGTACTATAAATTATAGCTATTCACATTTGTTCTTTCCAAAATGCAATCTTCTGGACATATTTATTGAGGACAGTGGGTGGATATAAAAAATAAAGGTAAAGCAAAAGAATGTTTCCATAAACCATGTATTATTCGTAATGAATTAGTAGAGTAATATATTTTTATCCCACCAAATGAAGTTCCATGGGGATATAGGAAAGCCATTCGTTCATCCTTCCATACTTTCTTCTGTTCAGGCAAAAACTCGAATACCGGTTGACTTGTTTGATTCAAATTTTATAGACTTATGCCTTATGGGTGTAGGACATCTAGCCGAGAAGGAATTTTCAAGATGGCTTCTCAATTCAAAATGGCCACCATTTTCATAAGAAATGTTTAAAGCTTAAATAACTCAAATGCTAGTCAATAGATTTTCTTCAAATTTTATATGCTTTATGCCTCAGGACAAAAGAGTTATTTGTTCAAGAAGAGATTTTCAAGATGGCAACTGAATTTCCTAATTGGCGCCATTTTTTTGTAAAAATACATAATCTTTAATAACTCAAATATCAGTAAAAAGATTTGGTTCACATTTTATATGCTGATACCTACGGATATAGTAGATGGTGACTGAATTGCAAAATGGCGGCCATTTTTCATAAAAATCTTTGATTTGATTTGGTTCAAATTTTATATGCTGATGCTTAGGGACAAAGGAGATCTGTTCAAGAAAGAATTTTTAAGATGGTGGCTAAATTTCAAAATGGCCACAATGTTTTTCTATAAAAAAAGTAATCTTAAATAACCTAAATATGAGTGAAGGGATATTGTGGCCACCATTTGTTGTTACAAAACATAATCTTTAAAAACTCAAATACCAGTAAACGGATATGGTGATTAACATAGGGATATAGTAGATGGTGACTGAATTACAAAATGGCTGCCAACTCAAATACCAAAAATAATATCTTTGAAAAATCAAATACCAGTGGATGAATTTGGTTCAAATTTAAAATGTTGATGCTTTGAGATAAATGAGGTCTGCTCAATAAGATATTTGTAAGATGGCCACTATTTATCAAAATGGCCACCATTTTTCGTTAAAATTGTAATCTTTGATTTCTCAAATTCCAGTTGGTGGATTTGGTTCACATTTTATATGCCCCTAGCTGCGGACAGAGAGCACTGCTCCAGATGAAATTTTAAAAAAGGCAGCTGCTATTTCAAAATGGCTACCATATTGAAAAATGTAATTTTTGAGAACTCAAATACCAGTGGATTTATTTGGTTGGTTCAAATTTTATATGTTGAATAATGCAGCTCTGTTTAAGTAGAAATTTTCAAGATGGCCACTTATTATCAAAATATGTTTTTCAGTGGGATTTGCTACTCCTTGGAGTTGCTGTTTTTTTAGTGTTTGGCCTTATTTGTAGATGCACATTAAGACATTTAATGTTTTTTGATCTTCTTTCATGTGGGTTTTATTGGAGTTCTATTGTGTTTTATTATACCTTTTAGTGCCTTTTTTACAGAGTGTTCCAACTATTATGTCAATTATTTTGGAAAATATCAATTGAGTTGGATTTTTTTAAATTCCATGTATTTGTAAATCCAAAATTCTTCTCAGTAGAATTTTTTTCGTTTATGTGAACCATGATCTTCCGTTAAATTAAAGAAGAACTTAATCTAATTAAATTGATTTCTCACAAATAATTATTTTATTTTTTTCAAAGTTACACAGGATTTCACCAGCAACTATTAGCTATGGCTCACAGAGACAACATATACAGATATTCCTGACAGAAAACGGGAAAATATGGAACTTTTTTATTAGCGTCATTGCTTGAGCTGAAATTTGTGTACATGTCACATATGTGAGCTAAAACTGAGGATGAGTGAAGATCTATATTAAGTTCAAATCCTTAAAATGTCATATTAATTGACTAATGAGTAGTAAAATCACAGACTAGTCTCACTACTCAACGATCACCCTGTGCATACTTTCTTCTGACCAACAACTAAAGCTTGTGGCCTACCTTTTTTGTTAAGAAAAATAACTACTTGAAATAACTCTAATCTTGCCCATGACATATTGTATTATATTGTTGTTTACTCAGATTGTTTCTTTGTAGATCAGAGTACTTTTGGGGATGCTCTGTATTTGTTTCCTTGTGATTGTTTGTCTTCTTTTTGATGCTCCTTTTTGTTTTTTTATAAATACTTTTTGTCTCCCTGTGTGGCATTTGTGCTTACAAATTATACTAAGGCGTAACATTGACACTAACACCATAAAGGACTGACACCCTCTTTTCTTTTATGTTGTTAGAGGTGTAATAGATACCTCATTTTATCATAATTGCGGAATTAGTCTCTCGTAACAAGGAACAAAAATTCTACATTTCTGTTCAGTCCGGAACAGTTTTTTGCACTGAAAAAAGTTCATTAATTCATTTCTTCTCATTGTGGAGTTATGAAGTTCAGTTAGTCTTCAGTGATTTTGAAACATATTGATGTAAGGTTAAGTTAAATGCACTTCATCTGGCATATTTAGAAATTAAATAAAAGGCACAAAATAAGAATTTTCATGGTGTGCATTAGATAAATGATCAGAGGCAGTTATTTTATGGTGTCACTAGATTACCCTTTCTTTTTCTTCTCCCTTCATTGGATACTTTATGGTTTGTTTTTTTCAATTATCATTTGTGACGATCCTATATCATTCTCTCTTGCTCGTGTAGTTTTTTTTATTTTTCGATCTGCTTGTTTCAGTTTGAGAAACCTACTTGGTTTGTGTTAGCAGGCTGTTACTTCCCTGATAGAAATGGACACCTCATTCACCTATTAGGATCAACTTTGATTGAATTAATATATGCCTTGTTCAGGGAACACATTAATTTATCAGTTATGTAGAAAAAAGAATGTCGTAAAAGCCAACAAAGCAAATGTGGCTATTGCTACTATACAATTGCTTTAATCTTTGTAAACTTACAACACATCAACATCTATCACTCCTTATTCCTGCAATCAATGTAGAGTTTAAACATCGTCAAAGAGCAATACTGGAATGCAGGTTCTTCCAGGATAATGGAAGTTTTTCGGGAACTCACTTGTGTAGTCTATAAACATGAATGAATATGGCATTCCTCAAAAATCATAGGATATCCTCTTTACATGACATTTTTATTGTAAACATACTTATTGAAAGAGGAGCCCTCATAATTTGTCAATTTTAAAATAAAAAAAATATTAAAGCAGCTTAAGGCTGAATTTTTGCCAGGGAAGCCAACTTTCAGTAAACCATGAAGTTCACTTTGTAAGGGATTCATTGTAACTGATCCTTACTGTTTTGTTTGTCTTGACTTACCTGTAATCTTTTACTTTTGCTTTCATTGATAGTTTCAACCTCATCACATGTCGGTCATGCTGGGTTCTATAACATTTTTTTCCTTTCCCTTTGGCTGATGTAAATGTAGGTTCATTGATAGTTTCAACACTCATCACATGTTGGGTCATGCTGGGTTCTATAACATTTTTTCCTTTCCCTTTGGCATTTGTGGGTATGTGATGACAGTGTTGCTGATGTAAATGTAGGTTCATGCAGTCTTCTGGATCAAGGACTTGAACTCATGTTTCTCACAATTTGTTTCTTTTAGTTTTTGTTTTTAATGTTCTTTTCTTTATTTGTCTTCAGTATTATTAAAATGTACCATGAATCTGTTGGTTTTCATGAATAACAAAACAATCAGGAAGTTTGATTAACCCTAATTCATGGTTATTCATGTGAACATGGCAGTATTCATGCATTCTATTAACTGTGAACAAAGTCAACATTTCAACCGGGTATATTTGTCAACACTACCCCTGGTAATACAAGTAATGTATGATGTCATAACGGCGGGTCCTAGTAATGGCGGACCATTAAACAAATATTCGAAAAATCTTGGTGAGTTTTCATGTTCGAATTGTAATATAGACCCCATAGCAGGTGTTATATGACAAATAAGTCCCTTAAGACTAGGCACAAAATCTTTCAACAGAAAACTTTTGTGCCTAGCCCTGCGGGATGTATTCGTTGATATAACACCTGCTCTTCAATCTATATTTCTTAAATATGTAATGTTGTGGTAAAATATTTCTCTTGTCACTCTGAATTTTGCTTCACAATTGCTGTTATTTGATGCAAGAGATTGTATCCATTTAAGTTTAAGGAATTATGGTGCTGGATTTCTGGACACCCTGTATAAATGTATCATAACCTTTCATTTGTATGCTACATGGGAATCTCTTCAGGATTTGACCTTAATGAATTAAACATTCACCAAGTGTGGCAACTTAATTCTGTTAATTTAAAGATTCACTCGACTGGAATAAAGCAATGCGGTGAATGAGTTATCTAGTGATGCCCTCAAGTGAAACGTCTTATTGGAATTTAATGTACAAGTAAAAGTCTGTCCTATGCTGATGCAAATAAATTAATATCTACACTTCTATAACTGATACAAAAATATCAACTTGTTCAGAATTTTTTACTCACTCAAGAAGAGCAATGTGATTGACATTCTAATCAATTATTCAACTGATTTGTCTCTTGAAATTGATTTAACGTGTAGTACTATTTACTAGAGTAAAGCATGATATGAAGAACAACATATGAGCTTGTTTAAGTTTTTCTCAAATAGTCACCTTTCTTTTAGTATCTTCGATCTCCTAAATAATATGTTTGATGGATTTGATTTAAGACCCAGTTAAAATTCAAGACCAAGTTTAAGGCCTAATATTTATTTAAATAGACCAAGGTTTTTGCATTGTTCTTCACTGTTACAAATCTGAAACATGTTTGGAGAGTCAAGCTTGCCAAGCTAGCACAAAAATATTACCTTTTGTTTATTTTTTATTAATATCTTTATTATACTGAGAATGCAATTACATTTATAATACTTACATTGGTACTATGTAACATATTTGATGATCTAGATACAACAAAGTTACTAATTACATATCAACATCTAACACGATACTGAATTGAAGGATTGACAGTTTGAAATGGTTTGAAATATTCTAGGTATAATTAATACCCTAATAATATTCTTGATTACTTTAGGTTAATGTAAAAGGTATATCTTTACGGTCCCATTAATGTATTTTTCAATTTTCAAGTACTCCAATTATGGACCACATGTAAAAGCATATATGGGTTTGTGGTATTTTCATGTTCATAACACTTACAAATATTCAAATTCACTACAAAAGCTTCTTATAATATGGTTGTGGATGGCCTAACAACTAGGATTAGACATCAATGTTGTGATACTGTCTCTTTATGTATGGCAAACGGTTTATTTCATTTAGCCATGTAAGTCCTCAAACATTGTCTCTCAACAAACTGATTCACCTAAAACAGATTATATAAAAGTTATTGTAATTGGTTTCATATATCATGTACATGTATTTTGTTCCAAAAAATGTTGTGCTCACCAGACTCTCACAAAATGTATATCTCATATATTTTATAATAATAAACATAATGGACTTGGGTAGGTATATCTGTAACACCTTCAAATAGAGAGTGTCGACAAATGTTAATTGTTATGTCCGCCATCCTTTGTGCCTGACTGTGGTAGTCATTTTTCAGCATCTGTCAAATTGTTAAACTTTCATAACCTTATGCAATAACATACTAGGTGGTGCTATTTTGTCTTGAAATGCCTTAATGAACTGTGGTACAGGTGGCTTCATGACTAAACATTGATCTATTTCTATATGCCAAAGGCATAATTCTTCTGGACAAATTATAAAACGTGGTTTTGGTGGCTGTATCAACTGTTCATTTAATGAATAGTGTAACATCATTATAACGTCATTTTGAAGGGCAGTGAAATATTGGACCGAGGGCAGATGGCCCAATGGAAAATTGCCGGGCATTAATGCATTATTGGCCCATCACTGTGATGTCACATATTGCTCAGGTCGATATAGTAAAATGAATGCCTTCTAAACTAGCACCAATACCCCTAGAACAGGCCTGGCAATGTGGTGATAATATGTGTTGCCAGTAATCTTTGTTGTTGAGTTGTGTGCCAAATATCCATTTTGTAAAATTTGTTGAATAATAGAAAACTTTTCATTTTACATTTTAATCACCCCGGACATATGAAGGGAGCTCAATATATCTTGTTTGATTATTTGAATACTTTTCATATATTAATTTATTACATAGTATATATTTACATATTATAGTTTCTCTAATATTGATAATTTATTACAAAATAGGATTTTCAAATCTTATAATATAGAGAAATATTGAAATTATTGAATGAGCATAGAGGCTCTAGTTTTCCCATTTTTCTTTTGCTTCACACCTTTCTTACCATTTTTACTAGATGCTACTTTTGTTGTTAGTGTCCCCGTGTGTGAAGGCTCGTTTGTTGGTAATTGTATGTGGGAACACAATCCAATACTTTGTCCAAGGGCTGTTCGGAAGTCCTTTGACACAAAGTTATAAACAATTGGATTCGTACAAGAGTTTGCATAAGACATGCATTCTGCTATCAAAGCTGGTATCATGAACCCTTTCCTTTCCATTTTAAAGCAATGCACCATCATCATAAGAATATTCATTGGTAGCCAGCAAATTGCAAATGCAATTGTCGTACCTATTATTATCCGGCTTGCATTCTTACGTCTTTGGATGGATGAAGCCGTGATATTTGAACTGTTCTTTGTTATGTGGACGAGAATCAAGATATGAGTCAGACAGATTATTATCACAGGAATTGCATAAGACATTGTGAAAAATGTTGCTGTAAGAATTTCCATATCTTTTGAATTCTTCTGATATGAACATATTGTTTTTGAGGTGAAACGATCAAGTCTCATTGTTATTGTGAAGTATATTTTCATAACAGGGATGTTTGCTGTGGCAATAATCAACCAAAGTAACACTGCAGAAATTATTGCACTTCTCTTTGTCCTTAAGTGGGATGACTTCGCTGATTTTACAACTGTCAAATAACGAGTTATAGACACTGCACAAAGAGAGTATATTGACACATATGCTGTAATGTTCTTCACATAATGCGTGATTTTACAGAAAGCTTCCCCAAATGGCCATTCATATAAGGCATGATAAGAAGCATTGACTGGAACACAAAATATGATAAAGAAAAAGTCTGCAATTGCCAAATTCATCAATAAGACATTCATATTCCCTCTTTGTTTCAGTCGAGTACATAGTACATACACAACCATTGAATTGCCAACCACACCTATGACTCCTATAAGTCCTTGTATTAATGGCATAACTATCTGTGTGGGCACGATCTGTCTTTGAAAAGGTGGTCTATATCTGAACTCCTCTCCTGTTTCATTCCAGGAAATGTTCTCCATTATCATCCAAATTCTTGTGTTGGTTTTCTATATCCTTTAGCCCCTCAGATCAGTCCATCAAGAACAGTTCAACTGGAAGTAGAATTACATACATACAATCTCCTAGGTCAGAAGGTTTCTGTATATTTATATGGACAATTTATGTAGCTACTATTTAAATGCAATTCATCCATGGTATTTAGATATCCCAAGAATGGCTACACTCTTCAGCATTTTCATACAATCATTCTGGCATTCAAATGTAATGATTTGTTCAACCATTTATAATTAAAAATGTCTTTTGGAAATGTCATATTATATTTCAATCTATATTCCTTGTCAGTATTATGCCATGTAGATGAAGCATTTGTAACAGTAATAAGATGTTTGTGCTGCCATGTGTATAATATCATATCACAATGATTTAGACTTATTTCCATGGCTTCCAAGTCCAACTACAAAATACCACATTTTAGATATTAATAATCAGATCCTGCAAATACCACTTTATGCAAATTATATTGTGGCATTTCTCCCTGAATGCCTTTAGTTACCATTCAACACTATGTCTATCTGGAATGTTACTAATCTGACATAGATTGGAGTATTTTCCAAGCATGAGGCAAATCGTACAAAACATCCAAATACACTCGTCACACCTGTCTTGCATCAATGCATCACTTACTTTTCATCACCAAGTTTCACGCCTGCCATATCATCTGTTTCTGTGAACTTGAAAATGAAACAACCTTCACTCTATTACAATTGCAACATTGTTTTTTACAAAGAGAGAACACCCAGGATGTTTGCCTGTATCACAGTGTCAATTTTTTTAAATCTATGACAAGAATTAATATATCATCACTAAAATGGAAGTCAAATTGATTAAATCCTAATTTCCTTGTATTGATCATATATCTTGAAGTCTTTGCCCTATTCTTCAAATATCTTTTTTTGTACTTTATGGGAAGTTACATAAGATTGCAAAGTTTCAGAATTCAAGAGTGTCCCTGAAAGGTACAATGTATCAAAGTTTGTAGACACGGGGTCATTTAACCTTTACCATGCTGCCTTATTTCAGCAAATATATCCCACGCAACTGGCTTATTTTTCAAAGAGTGCAAAAAATGATATGCCTGGACTAAATAATTAATATCTCAATAACTACTGAATGAATCTGGATAAAATTTTCACAAAGGGAAGATACAGTGGCCTGGCTCATGAAAAAAAATGTTCTCATGAATTTTTTCGTACATTAACACGACTGGGCATAAATATACCATGAATACTCCTCCGGAATCTGCCGCTCCGCCTCTTCGTCTGGTCAGAATCCAAATCTGAATTTGCAGCGATCGAATGTTCAATTTTTCAATTCAGAAAATATTCTAGTTTCTATTTTCGATGACCGTTATCGGCTTCCAAGAGCCTAAAGAGCTCGAAATCGTAATCCATTTCCTCCACATTTTCGTTGTGATCGTATTTGTCCACCATTTTGTACGATTCGTTCACTAAAAACGACTAAAACACTGTTTAAATTGTTGAATTGAGAATTATTTTTCGAAATATCGCCATTTCTAGGTCAACAGGAAGTCATATTAGGCACTGAATAAATCGAGCAATCTAATTGGACAATACGAAAGGCGCGAAAAAGTAAAGTTTTTAAAAGTTTGAAATCGGACGTACGGGTCCGCCGGCAGTTGTGAGAGACATTTTAGTCTCGGCGGACGAGTCCGCCGGCAGCACGCTAAAGGTTAAAGGGCAATTTCTGGTAATGTTAATTGATAAGATGTCTGTATTTCTTGGGCAATAGGCATTGATTTTTTTGTTTAGAATTTGAAAATGAAAATAAAAAATACATCATTTTGCTTTAGTAGTAGTAAAGTTTTACTACAGGGGAAGAAATGTTACAATATCAAAATTGTAAAGATAGTACTACATGTAGTTATAATAGTAAAACAAGAAAGATTTGGATGAAATAAGCAATGATCTAGATTTTTCCAAATGAGCAAATGCATTGAGGATTGCAGTATTATTTGATGTTGTACACAAGAGAACTGACTATGGCAATATGATTAATCCTTACAAATTACCTAACATTAAGTTTTACAAAATGAACTGGAATTCATTAATCATTTCAATAAGGTAATTGCTTTTCCTCAGGCAGCATATTTTATATTTTTGTAGAGAGTAATATTCCTTGATATTGATAAATCATGCCAAATTCTTGTTGTATAAATTAATGATTGTTTGTATTCAATTGTGATAGATGGCCTCTGGCATTCAAGCTGGCATGTTGTCACCTCTAGAATGTTACCCTTTGCATTCTTTTGACTTCACTTCTTAAAAGAGAGCTTCGTCTTCACTCTTTCAAACTAAAATAAACCTGTGAACTCACCGCGCCAAACAGTGTTCGTCAGCCAAATTTGACCGACGTTCTATATGTGGTCATTCCTTCTGACGTCATCTTTGAGCCCTGAATTGACCAATGGCATGCGACTCAATGACTAATTGACTAATGGCACTCTGCACGCAGGGTACTAGAATGTGTGTTCTGAAGTCATTCATTTTGAATCATCTAACTTCATTACACATTTGAAGTAAATTTTTTAAGCACTTTTCTTTGAATAATTATGTAGACAAATCAAAATGGCCACCAGATTTCTAGATCGTGCTCTCCAATATATTTATATATCTTAAGAAATTTAAGATCAGTCAAGTGACTTTCGTGGAATCCTGATAACAAGAAATAGCAGTCCAATATTGGCCATATCTAGTAAACATTTATTGAAATGTTTTGTCATTCCATCTGCCAATCTGTATGTCCACCAGTCCGTCTTGGATAATAAATCAAATACTGTTGGCCCAATATTGTTCATCTTTTATATAGATAATTATATGCCCCATGAAAATTTTGAACTACATGTAGTTGTTTCTGTGCAGAATTGTTAAAATAAAGTTTAAAAGTTACAATCATTGATTTATATTAAAATAATAAGAATATTGATAAATAAGTAGGCGGGGCAGATGAGTAATGCGCACAGGCAACGAAGCATTTTAATTAAGTGCAGTGTAACACCAGATAATTGCTTCGTTAGGGTTGTACAAAGCAAGTGTGGACACAATTTTTTCACTAACCTTCGTTACAAAAATGCTTTGTTAGACTCAACTCAGCAGTGTTACAGGTACCAGTAAAAACATGTGAAACTAGTATTTATATGTTTTGATGCAAAATTATATTGGATAATGATTTAGTCTAAAATCGAAATAAAAAGACAACACATTGTGGTGATCTTAAAAAATGGTGGCCATTACACACAATATTTGTTGCAACTTGAAATGTAGTGGAGCAATATATGATATGATAGGTGAATAATTAGAAGCATTGGACACCTTGGCTAATCTGGGCAGCCATTTTGAAAAATAGCTTCCATATTCATGTGTTATTTTATGCTTTAACTGGAAAAGTGGTGCTTATTTTGAAGGTTGCATTATATTTTGTTACACAGCATGGAAGCATGATCTTAAAAATGAATGCAATGAAAAACTATATTGTATGCTTTTGAGGATCTTTGAAAATGATTCATTGAACTGCCATGATGTATGAATCTAAGTATTGTATAACATGAAATATTGCCGTGGATATAAAGTTGCCGATTGCTGAATGTAAAACAGAAACGGCAACATAAAATTCGGAAATATAATTAAGTAATTGAAGATCGATCTTTGTGGGCGATAATATGGTAGTTGTCTAACGTGTGTCAACTTACTGTAATATGGTAATTTTCTAACGAGTATCAACTTACTATACTTTAACAAAAATCATACATAAAATACGATAAAATCGAAGCTTTATTCCCCAGCATAAAATTACAATAAAAAGTCATGATAAAAAGTTAAAATGTCAGAAGATCTAATTGTATCCAAGTGCTTTGGAAATTAATCCCAATATTAAACGTTTTTAATCCTGTTATTAATTGTCCTTGGTCTATCGAATGCGGGTAATCACTCAAATTGTCACTCATAATGTCAGGATGTCAGGTTTTCTGAGTCAGTAAAATGAAGGTGATTAAAATTCAGTTGTAAATCAAAATATATTAGAGGTGTCAGCTTAGCAATATTTTATTTGGTTTTACATTTAGGGGTGTCAAGTCGGCAAACCTTTATTCGGCAATAACAATTTTAATCCAATTCGGAAAATAAAGCACCCGGATCTAATGCATGTTATACAGTAAATGTTTTAAAGTAGAACTTAACAATCCCAAGAAAAATTAAATGTGTTTTTATTATCTTCGAAATAAAAGGAAAAGGATAAAAACACAATAATAAAGTTTTTATTGGGTGTTATGTGGCTACACTTTTATCTGTTAAGTGTGCTTCTTGATGAGATTTTTCGGAATTTGTATTATAGCTGCTATAAGTAACATGACTTGTAACTATGGTCTTGAATTGTACTACATTTATTTATTAATTAGTTATAAGCAAATGCTCTCTAGAGAAATCAGAAAAAAGTTAATTGGACCCAGTGGCAAGTCTAATTACCAATTGATAATAAGAAATAGAGGTACTCAAATCTGATTATTAAAACATAGATATAAATCACTGAACCTGGAGCCATTCTGCAAATTGAGGATTTATTACTTACATTATATGACCTAAACTGATTAAAAGGTCATAATATTATATTTATAGATGTTATATCTAGTCTTTCTATTTGAGTTAACTCCATTACCGTGGATGTTGGTCTGGTCTTAGTTAAAGAGAATCATCATTTGACCTTAACCTGTAGAATTTAGATTTTGTCATGGAATTTGACTTTGAACCATACTTAACTATCAGAAATTGTTTTAAAATTGGTTTGAAAATGTTGTGATGCCAGATGCTGTCATATTACCTAAATTACCTCTTCTTGATAAGTTGTTTTCTATAGTATAATTATTATAAGTCTCAAGTTACAGGTATATTTGGGGTATATTTAGAAAACAAATTTGCTTGGAGATATTTCCTTTGGAAAAAAGTGATGTCATGATCTCAAACACCAGTTCCTTATTGAAAAAAACACCCTTACTATTTTATTATTTATTATGTCACCACCAGG